CAGAAGATCACACCCTGGAAGTGGGGTTTTTGAGCTCTAGGGTAAACTCTTCCTGAATCTGCTCTAAGAAAACTTAAAAAGCAATCCTGGAATGGGTCAAAATGATCTTGGGTACCTATATGCCAGAAAAGGTCCAACACTCCTTAAAGGAATACGAGAAAATCCAGTACTCACCAAAGTGAATTCACGTGTATTCATTTTCTAGGGCTATTATAACAAATTACTACAAACTTGGTGTGGCTTAAAACTACAGAAATTTGTTCTGGAGGCCAGAAGTCTGAAATTAAGCAAGGAGAAAGCAGAGGGAAGGTTGCGTGATCCGGAGGCCACCTTGGCTGCAGGCTGAAACGGAGAAGTTCTCCAACCATTGTGGACCCAACTAAAGTGCAGTGCTAGAGAAAGTGCTCAAACATATGAGTTTATTCAACATAACACAGCTTGTTTAATGACTTAGAGCTACTAGGGATATTGATTTTTGGATTGCATAATAGATAAAAGTTGCAAAGGACATCTGCCAAACAATACATTAATGTTTCTTTAGTACACTAGTTTTAAGAAATATTGAGAATTCTTGAGAGGCAATATAATGGGAAAAAAAAAATCTCTCAGAAGACAATACAAAGAGGAATTCACCTAAGTGTCTTATAATAGTCTGGCAGACTGCTCAAACCAAGAAATAGTATCTGACAAGCACTGCTATGAAGACTGAAAATGTATGTCAGAAAAATAAAAGACACTTCCATCATGCTCGTGCCCAGGCAACTCAGCAAGCTTTGAGAAAGAGAAGGAACTCTGTTTCCAGCATATGAGTAGTGATCAAGATTTGACCACATGGATTTTATGGGACATCTCATTGCCCAGACTTGTCATTACTAACATAGGCAAACATAAACTCATGTTTTTAAGCTTCTGTTGCAGAAACATTTCATAACTGTTCCATCAGCTCAAGTTTGGCTTATATTGCTGAAGCTATTGTGTTCTGCAAAGAACTGAAAGCTACATGCCAGACCACTGTGTGCAAGGAATGGTACATTATAGAATACACTCACCAAGAGAATGATCAGGACAGAATTTCTATGACAAGACCTAGCAGAATAAAAAGAAAATAGAAGTAGTATTAATTCAAAACAAATCTCTTGATGGGATTGTGTGTCTCAACTGTTTTTATGGAGCTTTACTTTATCCTAGACAAGCGAGATAATAAAATCTAATTGGAGCTAAGGAAGACATGATTTATGCAGAATCCACTTCCACGTTAAAACAAGCAAAGAAGTTTATTGTGTATACAGTGATGCTCAGAAGAGAGTAAGTAGTCTTTAAATGAGAAGTTAACATATCAGATAAAAATACACTGGACTACGAGTAGGTTCTCATGAGCCACGTGGCTTTTATCATGTGCCTTCAGTATGGTGAGAGATGGTCATAATTCCGCTGCCAAGCATATGAAACACACTAATTGCTCACTGTATAACAATTTTGCAATTAAATGTCAGTAATGGCATGAGGATGACCTGTTCCAAAGACTGTTCTGTAGCTTTGGGGCATGTAACCTCTCCAACCATCACCTTCCTAATGATATCGGTTTGGAGTCTGGTGACAAGGACGTTGTTTCTACATCAGGAAGTAACTTTATAATAGTGTGGAACACAGTACTGTAAGCTGGTAAGGACCTAAAGCGGATATGAGTGAGGGAGGCATTGCCCATTTGCAATACCAAGGTGGGCTGGTAATGAGTGATTCATCTGACACCATCAGGTTATGGGACTGTATTTGTCTGCCAGGTCTGCTATACCAAAATATCATAGAACAGGTGGCTTAAACAACAGAACTGTATTTGCTCACAGTTCTAGAGACTGAAAGTCCAAGATCAAGTTGCGGGCTAGGTTAGTTTCTCCTGAGGCCTTTCTCCTTGGAATGCAGACAGCTGCCTTCCCATTGTATCCTCACATGGCCTTTTTCTCTGCACATGTGCTCCTTGTATCTCTTCCTCTTTTTATAAGGACATGAGTCCCTGTTGGATTAGGGGCCCACCCACATGACCTTGTTTAACCTTATTACCTCCTTAAAGGTCTTATCTTTAAATATAGTCACATTGGTGGGTAGGGCTTCAAATTATGAATTTTGTGAAGGACACACCATCTAGTTCATAACAAGGACACAGTATGGAATATGTTTACAAGGACTAAAGGGCCATGTGAAATTGGTGTGCCGTATTTGATGGTGTAATGAGGATAATCAATGGGTACTTTAATCAGAAAATTGAAATGTAGAATCATATAGGTCTTCGGGACCCCCGTAACTCTGAAGGGACACTTTAATCAATAGACCCTGATGGAAAATTCAGAAAAAGTTTTCTGACTCCAGTTTGATGAATTTCAGATCGTCAATACTCCACACAAGGACATAAGCCTGATGTGGGACTTCCTAAATGATTCTATTGCCTAAGCTGAATCTCTTCTGCTCTCCTTCCCAGCAGCCACCTCTGTCTTCAGAAAAATAAACATACATTGACCTACCTCATACTTACTTAGCATCATCAAAGTCATGCTGTCTCAGTATACCAGAACCAGAAGGATGAACAACAGGAACAACCCCCCAAACAGTTTTTTTGGTCCTGGATTTCATCATGAAAGGAGCACAGTGGGCCTGCACGCAACAGAAGATAGTTGGTCTTCTCAATGCAGCCAACTGCTTTAGTACTAGGATCCAAAAATGTGTCTTATCTTTCACAAGTGATTAGGATTTCCTGTCCCTCCTCCTTTCCTCTTTGCTGCTGCTTCCCCGTGTTTGATTCTAGATAAACATGGCCTATAATGTATTTAGTTTTGGAAAAAAAAAAAAAAATGAAAGAAAACATTAGGTCCTGATTCTACTACTTACTAGTTTACTTGAGTTTAGGCAAGTCATTAAATTTCTCTGCACATCAAATTTCTCATATATAAAATTGAAATAGGAATTTTTGCCCTCACAGGATTGTCATGAAGAGTAAAATAACTTATATAAGCAACTAGCGAGGTACCTAGAACATGGCAGACACTCAAAACATTTTAATTCGCTGTCATCTTCTATGATAGCGCCAGATAGGAGAATAAAGGAGAAGTTTGGGGAAGGAAGAACAAAGGGAAAAGTTAAAATTCCGCTTTTACACAAGTAATTTGGCATTAACATACTAAAAATTATAAAAGATTTATAAACTTTAAACAATATCCTGCATAGCATGTTGTAACTTAGAGACTGTGCTAAGCAGTACAACAGGAATTGCATTTGTACCATTTAAATTATATCATCACTACTGCCCTACTATATAATGACAACAATTGATTGTAGGTTCATCCATTAAAATCTCCTTGTTAGTGTGTTAATAAATACTATATCATAACTCAAATAAATACTGTATCATAAATTAATTAAAAGATTCCACAAAGAGTCTTGTGAACTGTTATGGAATCCTCTGTTTAAAACTCTTCTGTCTTCCCGTTGTCCATATTGTGAGGCTGAACTCTTTCAGCATTCATTATCTGGCCACTTCTTTTCTTCTGTAGCCTCTGCTTCCTCCACCCTTCTATCTGGGTCCTTGCCTTTAATCCTAAACTCCCACCATATTGAACTATTTTGGGTTTCTCTTTTCTCAGCTCTCACACATGCAATACTATCTGCCTGAGACATACTTTCCATGTCTTCAACTGGCTAATTCCTGATTATCTTCTATTCTCCTACAAAGCCTAAATGAGATCTTCCCCTCTAGGAATTACCCTATTATTATGTATTGAGCCCCTAGCATAGTGCCAGGCACGTTAGGAATTCAGTAATACTCGTTAAGTGAATGATTCAGTATTCCATCTAAATGCAAAAGATTATAATGATAATTTTCCATTACGTATGTTACAGTTATATAACAGTTATATTACAGTTATATAACCTGTAAATTTTCAAATCCCATTTATTTCTTTTAATTGTTGGAGTGACATTGATCAACAAAAGCCAGTAAGTTTCAAATATACAATTCAACAGTATGTCATATATGTATTGCCTTGTGTGTTCACCACTGATAGTTAAATTTCTTTCCATCACCACATATTTAACCCATTTACCGCTTTCTACCTCTACACTACTAGTCCACTGTCCATGTCCACGAGTCTGTTTTCAAATCCTGTTTAAGTAGGAAAAAAGTAGAAGTAGTTTGCTCTTTAGTATTCATATCATGTCCCACTTTATATTTCAGTGCATCACGTCTAAAGTGGGCTGATGTCTGCCTCCTTAATAAGTGCTGTAAGTGATTCGTAAATGCCTGTGTGGCCATTCATTTTGATATGGGTTTTTCAAAAGAAAAAGAAAAATCAAATATAGTGACTACCGTAACAACATAGAAAACTCTCATAAAATGGTTTTTCTTCTTAAATTTCTACCTTGCAAAAGTAAGCTTATCAGAGTATTTTAAAAGGTAGTCAGAAGATTTATATTGTTGACATAAAATATCTGAAACGTGCTTATAGAGATGTGTATCTCAAAAAGAGACCTGAACAATACGCCAAGTGATCGCCATGAAGTTATGTAATTGAGTTGTACCATTGAGCTTTTCCTTTTTGTAAAATTGTTGGTGTTCTGAAGAATTTTTTTTTTTCAGATGCATCTGCTTAGCACTGAGAATGGAATCTAAAGGTAGCATAAAACAGTTCTAAGAAAGTGAATGGCGTGTGTGTGACCTTTTTTTAATTTGCTTCACAAGTAATTTACTTTAAAAAAATTAACATCTGCTATTTTGAATCTAATCTTAGTATATTGAATGCTCTTAACCATTTCTCAATCCCACAGTCTTTTATCTTGCTTCTCCTGCTGTGTTCCCACCACCCCTGATCCCATTAGCAAACCTTGAGACCGCCTCCGACTTACCAAAGTACTGCTTTGGTTTCAGCTGCTCTTCTGCAAGAGGAAGTGAATGTTGGGGGTTTTCTCTGTGGTACAGTTGTGATAAAGCTGTGGTGGTCTTATCTCTCTCTTAGGTAGTGGCTCTTTATGACTACACAGCGAATCGATCAGATGAACTAACCATCCATCGCGGAGACATTATCGGAGTGTTTTTCAAAGATAATGAAGACTGGTGGTATGGCAGCTTAGGAAAGGGACAGGAAGGGTATTTTCCAGCTAATCATGTGGCTAGTGAAAGTAAGTTTTATGCTCCCTTCCTGGTTTACTAATATGGTATAACTGATAGTATAAGATTTTATCATTTTCTACCCTTTAATTTACTGTCTTTGTAACTTTTGCATAGGTTTACCAATGGGTATCGCTTTTCATTCTCATGATGCAAAAAAATAAAAAGGGGAGGCTCTAGAACACTAGATAGCTATTACAGTCTGGGATATTTGCTTCACGACTTCTCATCCCGGGGGACTTGCCCATTTAGCTACCAGTGTTCTTCTACAAGCCGTTTCCCCTGCCACCTGCTTCATGCATGATTATGTCAGCTTTTCTCTTGCCACAATGATTCCTCAGTTGACAGGCACACTAAGAACCTCTTGTTCCCCAACTCTCATTCTTTTACTCTGTATACTACAGTCTTAGCTGTTACTTGTTACCTACCTGCAATAGATTGTTTCATTCTCAAGTAAAGTAAGCCCTCACTTATGAAAAGGAAAAAGAAATAAACTGGAGGAGGAATTCTAAATACCAGTCTCTGAAAGCTGTGGACTTACTACTAGCTATAGATTTCACCTTGAAAGGTGAAAATAGAACACAGATTGCCTGAAAAAAAGACTACAGAGAAAGGGGAGAAATATAGTAATGCTTCCTCAGAAGAATGCTTCCTATCAGCAGTTAACTTCATATTGTGGTAGGAAAAACTAAACTGCCAGGGGTCAGGAAAACAGATTTCTAACCCTAGCTCAACAGCTATTGCTGATATGCCTCAGTTTCCTCCTATAAAATAAGGAAGTAGAGCTCTGTCATCTATAAGTTTTCTTCCAGAAATACTAAATCACATAGTTCTGATTTAAAATGTAGTATAGGCAGCCTTGAGAACACTCTATTTTGAATATGTATTAAGTTTTTGTTGCTACATAAAAAATAATTATTATAAATAATAGTTGCTTTTCAGGCTAGCCTATGCAACCCATTTAACCCAAAATATGGCTAAACAAAAGCACATTCATTCCTAACCTAAGTTCTGAATTTTAAGAGCAAAGGACCTGGAAGTGGAAGGAGAATTCCTTCCGTGGATACCGGGTGCTGGCTCAACCCCGATAAAACGACTTCTCTTGGGCACCCTCACACCACCTCGTCTGCACCCCAATACTTCTCAGTGCTCCCCCTCCAGTCTCTCAAGAGCTCTGTCTTACTGTGGCTCCCTTCCTCGGTTTATCTGCCTCTTTCAGCAAACTCCTCCCCTCACAAGTGCTAAGTGTCTCAAAAATTACCCACTTCTCTCTCACACAACTAAATTCTGTACCACCATTTTAATTCTTTTTCTCTGAGTAGTAAATGACTGAGATAGCTCTTAAACTCTGAGATATATTTTTACGTTTCAAAGAAGATGCATAATGGAGGAAACTTGAGGCAATATGGAAGGAAGAAATTTTAGAACAGATTAATACACAGTCATTTCCCAGAAGTTCAGCACTTCTAACTTCCAGATTGTCAAAAATATTTAAGTTCCTCCCCTCCCGTTCCCAGTGATGGCTTTCCCACAGGATCAACCAGTGGAGTTGAGGGGGTGGCTTCTGTTTTTAAACCAGGAACTGCCTGCTCTATCATAGTCACCCTAGAGAGTATCTGTCATTTTAACTGGATATTACAATTCATTGTTTCTTCTTGATATAAATGAAAACATTTTAAAAAAATTTTAAGTTAACGATATAAAAAGATTGTGTATTTCCAGGCAGGGTAGTATTAGGTGCTTTAACTTTAGATAGTTTTCAGAAATAACCTCTTATGCTTGCAAATCTTGAAAGGCTATAGATATTTGATCTATTGTAGGTTAAAAATCCAATAAAATTTTTCTCCCATGATAACCAAACTGAGACTTCTGAAGCATATTATAATGATGGTTAGTGATTATATGCAGAAATTATGGTCTCAGGTATTGACCATTCTTCAACTGTGATAATTCCTTACTATATCCCAGAATAATTGATGTTTTCTTTGGCATAATTTATCGCTTGTTGTAAAGCTTTGTAAAGGCCAGAACAAACAGGAAAAAAATCCTCAGACAACATGAGAATATAATGATCGAATTCTCACTTCATCAGGGATTATTTTTCTTTCCTTTTTACCTTACTTTTTACCTGAATTTAACAAATCTCACCTGCCCAGTTTTAATATTAGAGAAAAACTGTCAGCAGCATATTTCACTCTAAAAATAGTAGCAGAAATTGTCCTTTATCTTTATCTGAAACCAAGTATGCAGAGCAAATGATCTAAGGGAGTATGTATCTGAAAAGAATCTGTAGCAGTTATTCAGGTGAGAGCCATGTCCTCCAAGAGAACAAGACAACAGAAGACATCGGTACCTCATTATTATAAGGGACTTATTCCCTTTGTATCTTAAACCACAGGAAAGAAAAACATGATCAGCTTCCCTTAATCACATTTAACATCCTTGCCTGTAATAAAATCAATACATACACAAAGCCAGTTAATACATCTCGTAATCTTAGAATTTTGATCAGGTGTATTTTAGCAATTTCTCTCAATTTAGAGTTGCCCAAGTCATTTAACTGAAATGGAATTTTTTTTCAGCCCTTTAAAATTCCTACCTGACTTTTTAGATTCAGCACTGTTTATAGATTAGAGTATATAGATTATAATCTTAGGTTATAAGAATCTTAGATTTAGCAATGTGAATAGATTCAGTGTCATGTTCAGTCCTAGCCCCATGCTTATTTATTTCATACCATTTTCCCAAATTATCCTTTCTCCACACCTCTGTCTGTCAAAATCTTACATATTCTTCAGAATCTGACACACCTGCCACTTCTTCCATTAAGCATCTGTCATCCTCACATCATAGTTTGTCTTTGTTATTTTCTCTCTTTGGATTAATGTCACATTCTATTTCATGTTACGGTTACTTGCGAACATATCTGTCTCTGACTATGTAAGCTCCTTGAGAGCAAAGGCTGTTTTGATCACCTTTATATCTCCTCCAGCAGTACCTAGCAGATAACTATGCATATAGCAGGTTTCTGGTAAATGTGTAATGAAATAATTGCATGACCACATAGTAAGTAAAGATGATACCTTCCATGTTTCTGAAATCCTGCTGATCAAAACTTTCCAATCATAAGTTATGCTCTTTTGATAACTAATATCTAAGACTATAAATCACCTTAACAATAAGTGCTAGGAAGCTTATTGCTACACCAAGGAAGTGAATATCAATTTCTTTAGTTTCATATCTGCTCCCCCCATCATTGCTTTCTTCCCTCATGGAACAGTGCTTCTCAATTTGATGACTTGAATATCTTTTTCAATTCCAGCACTGTATCAGGAGCTGCCTCCAGAGGTAAAGGAGCGATCCCCTCCTTTATCCCCCAAGGAAAAAACCAAAATAGAAAAACCTTCATCTTCTAAAAAGGTAAATATTTTCAAGAATATATATATATAGCATATGCACTTTAATTTTCACTCTCTTGGTAAAATATTACTTTATTTTTTATGCTGATATCCTTCATTGTTTATATTATTATGTCTTGTAATATTGGCACCAACATCATGAAATATGTAAGGCATATATTATTATAGCCATTTTCCAGATAAGGAAACTGCGGAGCCTCAGAGAGGTTAAAGTAGACTCCAAGCCACAGCCCAAGTAATGGGACAAGAACCCAAAGTAGAACTTGTGACTTTAAGTGTGATGCTATTTCCACCCTATACTTGTTTCTATTACTGATGGTGACACTGTTATGAGCACCACCTGAGGGGTACACATGTATGCTGAAAGTCACTGGAGCCCACAGAATAAGAATGTCATATCTTCCTGGAGCATTCCTTTTACTTCCTAGTAATTTAAAATGTTTTCACGTTAAAATGAATATGGATGTATCATTGGCCAGAAAATTGTCATGTTTTTTAGCCTGTGTCCCCAGATCCTAGTCGGTAATATTCTGATGTTAGTAGTACTTTGGTAGAAAAGTTCAATAAGCAATGCGTCATCATATATATTACTTATTAAACTTATTTTATTCTGCGACATTAGCTCTTCCCTTAGGCTGAATAACTTTACTTCTTGACTTTATGAACTGGCGTTTTTTCACGGTTGTTCCTGTCATGTATCATTCAGCCTATGTGTACTGAGCGCTTACTTCCATGCCAAGTGCTCCACTAGTCTTCACTGAAACAAGTTTGAGAAGGCAAAGCACTTACCCTCGAGCTAACAGGCTGGCGGGTGAGACACCAGCAAGTAGGCAACTCTAACTGACTGTGGTAAGAACTGTAATGAAGACGTGCACAGTGTATTCGAAATACACAGGAAGAAACCCTCTAAATCTGCCCTGGGAAGTCCAGAAAGACTTCCCAGAGGAGGTCACGCTTGAGCTGAGGCTTATAGGATAAAAAAGTATGTGCTAGGTAGATAGATGATCTGAGAAAAAACATTCTAGCAGAGGGAATAACTTGAATAAGTTGTGGTACAGTGTGGTTATGTTTAGAGAAGGATAAGAGAAATGCAGGAGTCAGGCCACAGAGAGCCTAGTATACTCTGCTAAGACGGCTTAGGTTGTATCCTTCAGGCAAAGGGGATTCCCTGGAGAAGGTAATCAAGGGAGTGACATGGACATGTTTTCATCTTAACAGTACCATTCTAGTGGCAGCATTGTGGTTGGATTATAGGTAGCTAAGACCTGGGACAGAGAAATTAGTTAGGAATCCATCAAAATAAAATATAAAATTCTAAACTAATGGGGATGAAGGGGAGGGGTATGATTGATTGGTTGTGATTAGCGATGAGTGATGTTGGATTATTTTGCAAATATCTGCAAGGAGAGGGATACTACTGGCATCTAGTGAGTAGAGGTCACAGATGTTGCTCAACATCCTAGAATGCACAGGACAGCCCACCTCAACAAGGGATTATGTGGCCAAAAATGTCAGCAGTGCTGAGCTTAGAGCAATAACCCTCTGAGACAGATAAATATGAATGAGCATGCAGATAAGTTAATAAAATGTAAGTCCATAAGTTAAGGATACCTTTTGTTCTCAAAAACAAAAAGGAAGGTTCACTTCAAATATGAGGGCAAAAGATGTGAGGTGAGAAGAAGAGTAGTGACCATTAGAACAGTAAGGTAGTCCCTACCTGTAAGGACGGCAGGAGCAGAGTTCGTTTGAGACATATAAAGGGATTCCTGAGGAGCTCTGGGAGCTGCCCTTTGGATGCCATTAAAATGTAAGGGACATAATTCTGTGTAGTTGGATTTTTTTCTTCAGTAGTGCTCAGCATCTAGGACATAGCAGTGGAGAAGGCAGATTTGGTTTGATACACAATTGGATTTGTGAGTGTAATCAAGGCCAAGAGGATAAGAGACTTGATAACATTGGTGAGAGTTACTGGAGTGACACACTATGGAAGATCAGGCAGATTGGAAAGGATGTGGAATCAGAAGACTGGCCAACTTAGAAAGCAGGGTTCTCTGCAAGATTGCAGTAATTCAGATGGAGGCATAGTGTCACGCCGTAAAGCAGTTAAACTGGAACTATGCCCTATAAATCAAGTAACTTGCCCAATTACTATTTAGAAGTTAGGTATTTGAGGTTATGATAAATTCACAAAGTTGTATATAAGAGCCGAAATGAAATTGAAGGATGTGTTATTAGAATTGAGCCGGCCAAGGAACTAGGACTGGATGTCGGACAAGTTGTTCTCTTGAGCATTAAAATTCCAGGATGATTGCAAGAGCTGGGGTAAAGGGAACACTGAACCAAGTGGTGAAGTCCTTAATTCTTGTGGTAGAGCAGATATTTCAACTTTGTCTTCACATTGAAATCACCTAAGAAATTTAAAAAATAAATATTGATGCTTGTCCCCACACCCACAAATTGATTTAACTGGTCTGGAGTGGAACCTCAGTGTCGGTAAGTTTCAGAAGCTTTCTGTGTTAATTTACTGTGCAGCCAACATTGAGAACTATCCCATTGGAATGACCACAATGTCTGAAGGTAACAGCTGCAAAGATAGAGAGTCTCATAGCCAGGTGTGAAGGCACCCAAGGGGGACAGCTTTGAAAAGATAATAGTCTAATATCAGCAAAAGAGAGCTAAGGGGCCAGTGTTAACTCCAGGCCCCATGGTCATGGTTGGATTATATGAGAATGGACAGTCTGTCCTGCAAAGAACTGAAAGAAAAATGGTTTCTTGGTAAAATCCAGTTTCGCATACAGCAAAGATATAGAATGATAGTTGCCTATGACAGCCTGGCAACTACAATGGATAGAGTTGAAAGGATTGGCAAGGAATTTGATTATTACAAATGCTACATGTGGAATATTATCCATTGTTTGGAATTCACCAGATTTAAGAATTTAGATTCTAATGTAAATTTACAACCTAAAGATATTTAGTGCAATGAATGTATTTATAACACTGGCGTAGGGAGTCATTGCGACAGCTAACAGTATTTGTAGTCTATGCCAAGAACTGTGTGAGATGCTATGAAAGACACAGTCTTTACTTGTAGGGGCCTAATGGTGTCCCTGATGTTGTGTCATGCTGACCTTTGAAATTGGGGTTACATAACTCCCGCCTCTGTGTGTTTCTGTCCAATAGCCTTGAACTAATTCTGCTTCTGCCAGAGGAGATATAAGGAACTCTGTGGGTGTCTGTGAAGTTGGCATTGCCCCTTCCCCCTCCCGATGCACCTGTGTTGCTGTGAATAGAGGCCTACTTCCAGGGCTCTCTAGTTCTCACTGCCTGTACCACTCCTCTACTTAAAAGACCATATAATAGCCTTAATTTAACTCTAGTTACTCGTTTGATTTATTGTGCCTTTTCCTCTCACAGACTGATCTTCATGCTTAAAATACACCTTCATATTCACCTTCATATTCATATCACAGTAGGCCACTTCTCCAATATCTAACTTGACCTTTCAAGCTGAAATCCCACTGCTGCCCAGACCCTAATTTTAATAGATCTCAAGGAACTTGCAAACATGCAAGTAAAACATTTGAAAAATATAAAATAGGTAAAGCAAGGAAGTTGCCAAGGATAAGAATCCATTTGGGCAAGAGAATAGAAAGGTTCTCATGGAGGAGATGGAACGCAAATTGGGCTTTAAAGTTTAAGATGCATAGATTTCTTTTGAAGAATATGATTTTATCTACCGTATCCAAATCCATGTGTTAGAATAGACTCCTACATATATTTTTCCTCAGGAATGTACCACATGTATAGTTAGACCATGTTTTACTTCTCTGTGGAAGAAAGTATGAAGAATGTTCCACACTTATTAAAAAGAAGTTCCTGAGAAACAGTAATGCTGCCCCAGGTAATCAGAATGCCTCAGGTACACTCTGAGTCACGACACAAACAACCAACCCTTGAGAAATGTGCTTCATGAGCACCTGGCAGAGTTGCATTTCTTCAGGTTAGTTCCTTTATCAGAAAACATATGGTTTGATTTTATCAAAATCCTGCTTATAAACCTACCACAAATTCTATTAGATGTTTAATTTTGTATACAAGTTTTATTTGTATAGTCATGTGTAAGATATGTTTTTAAAAAACATGAAAAGTTGTCTCTGATAAGTGACTAGAAGAGGAGGATTTTAAGTTCATGGAATTATAGATTTGGTGACAGAAGGAACCTTAGAGATTCCAGTTAATTCCTTCATTTTATAGATGAGGAAATCAAGATCCAGAAAATTAAAAGAGTTTTAGAATGACACTCCTAATTAGGAGCTCCACTTAGTGACTGACAGACAGCTGTTACCTGCACAGCTGGCCACATTTTGTGTCACAGCGGTCTTTTACATCCCTATTCTGTTTGTTTTGTTGTACCCCACCCTATTCATGTGGCAGTCTTTAGAATTATATTCTCTGTACTTTTTAAGGAAAAAAAGGAAAGAAACCCCCTCAATGGTTTTCTTTCTTTCTAAATTATTTCTATTCAAACTATAGAATAAGAAGTAAAATTATACCTTTTAATAGCTTGGCAGCTGCTAAATCTTCTTAAGTTCTTCCAAGTGGAACACACCTGTTTCTGTTGCAAAATGTGCCAGGTCCCTTCCAGTATTTCATCTGGTTCATTGAAATGTTAGTGGGTGATGGCAGCATTTGCTCTTCCACTGCAGGAGGAGGAGACAGGCTTTTCTTGGTGATTCTCTACAGTGGGTCAGAGGGTCTGCAAACAAATCAATAATTAGCTATGCTACAGGGGAATGAGAGTAGGAGACTGTTTTCCTCGAGATCATTGAAGAACATTGTTTATAAATGGTGTGCTATAAATTTAATATCTATTAGGGAAAAGAATATCTGTACTAATAGGGAGGAAAGAAACTCACAAGCTTTAAAAAAAAAGTAATGCCAACAACCTTGGTTTATTTGTGTTCATATCTTGGACCTTTTTAAAAAAAAAAACTTTAT